AGGTCAAGGCTGCAGTGGCTGGGAGCGGCCACTGCACTCCAGTCTGGGCTACAGAATGAGGCTCCAACTCAAAAAAAAGAAAAAAGAAAACTAATAGTAAATAAAATGCACAAACCCCTATGCATCTAATAACACCATCTCCAAATACATAAAGCAAGAATTGGCAAAATTATAAGATCTTTTTGTTTTTTCAGTTGGAGTTTCACTCTGTCACCCAGGCGGGAGTGCAGTGGCACGACCAAGCTACCGCAGCCTCAACCTGCTGGGCTCAGACGATCCTTTGGCCTCAGCCTTCCAAGAAGCTGGGACTACAGGTGTGTGTCATCATGCCTGGCTAATTTTTGAATTTTATTGTAGAGACAGGATCTTGCCATGTTGCCCAGGCTGGTTTCAAACTCCTGGGCTCAGGCTGTCCTCTTGCCTTGGCCTCACAAAGTGTTGGGATTACAGGCATAATTCACCATGTCCAGCCTGAAGTGTTGTTAGTAAGGGGTTGTAAAACACTCTGTAAAAAAAGCTTGACTATGAACTGGGCTCGGTGGCTCAGCCTATAATCCCGTGCTTTGGGAGCTGAGGTGAATGGATTTTCTGAGCTCACGGGTTCGAGACCCACCTGGGCAACTTGGCGAGACCTCATCTCTACAATAAATAAAAAAATCAGCTGGGTGTGGTAGTGCATTCCTGTGATTCCGGCTACTCGTAAGGCTGAGGCAGAAGGATCGCCGGAGCCCAGCGGTCGAGGCTGCAGTCGCCGGGAGCGGCCACTGCACTCCAGTCTGGGCGACAGAGTGAGACTCCAACTCAAAAAAAAAAGCTTGACTATGAATGGGCTTGGAGGACATTATGTTAACTGAAATAAGTCAGGCACAGAAAGATAAATACCACATGTACCCATTCATATGTGAAGCTGAAAAAGTTGATCTAATAGATGTAGAGAGTAGAATAGTAGTTACCAGATACTGGGGAGAATAAAAGGCAGGAAGGCATAGTCAAAAGCTGGTTAACATATGTAAAATGCAGCTAGATGAGAGGAATAAGTTTCAGTGTTCTTTAGCACCATAGAGTTACTATAATTTATTATGCATTTCCAAATAGCTAGAAGAGAAGATTTCGAATGCTCCCAACACAAAGAAATGTTATATGCTTGAGGTGATGGATATGACAATTACCTTGATTGTTCATTACACATTATATACATGTATCAAACTATCACTCTGTTCCCCAAAAATATGTACAAATATTGTGTCAGTTAAAAACAATAATAAAAATAAAGAAAAAAAGAGGCTTGACCATTTGGACATGTACTGAAACTGAAACCACTCAACATGAAAGAAAATAGTTTTGAAACACATAAGAAGCAAAAATAAAAAACTGGCAGACTGGGCATGGTGGCTTATGCTTGTAATCCCAGCACTTTGGGAAGCCAAGGTGAGAGGACTGCTTGAGCCCAAGAGTTCGAGACCAGCCTGGACAACATAGCCAGACCTTGTCTCTACAGAAAATAAAAAAAAATTAGCTGGGTGTGGTGGCATGCACCTGTAGTCCTAGCTACTTGGTAGACTCAGGCGAGAAGATTCCCTGAGCTCAGAAGGTTGAGGCTACAGTGAGCCATGATAGTGACACTGCCACACACTGCACTCAGTTTGTGCAACAGAGTAAGACTCTGACTCAATAAATACATACATACATAAATAGCCACACAGTAGATATATTATTTAGTGTTTTATTTGTTATAAGAATCTCCCTTAAGACTGGGCGTAGTGGCTTACTCCTAAAATCCCAGCACTTTGGGAGGCCAAGGTGAGAGGACTGCCTGAGCTCATGGTTTCGAAACCAGCCTAGGCAATTTGGCAAGACTTCTTCTCTACAATAAATCAAAAAATTAGCTGGGTGTGGTGGCATGCACCTGTGGTTCCAGCTACTTGGATGGATGAAGTGGAAGGCTCTCCCGAGCCCAGCAGTTTGAGGCTGCGGTGGCTGTGAGCAAGCCACTGCACTCCAGCTTGGGCAACAGAGTGAGACTCTGACTCAAAAAAAAAAAAAAGAAAGAAAAACTCCCTTCAAATGTTTCTTAATCCAACTAGGGGTTTGTTTTATGCAACAAGTCCAGAAACACAGTTTAGGGCAAACATGGACACCCAAAACTATACCTTCTGGGAGTAAGAAATCTTGTAATTCGAGGGTTGTGGTATCGGGACCATCATCCCAATGGTCCACGGTGTTGTTCATTCTGACTCAGGACATTTCATCCAATTTCCAGAGAGCAAGGAGAGAGGGCAAAGGGAACTCGGTTAAGAGAAAAAGAGCAATGGTAACTCTCCCATTTCCAAACAGAGTTCCAGAAATCCTAGCCAGTGATTCTGCACTCCTCATTGGCCAGGACTATAAGCTCTGCCCACCATTAGTTATGAGAAGAACTGGGAAATCCATTTAAGTACACCAAGCCATGCTTATTGTGGAAAATTAATCTACATGCCCTCAGTAAAAGAAGATGAGAAGACTGAATATGGGAGAGAATTGACAGAATCAGCCATATTAGACTGATATGAAGTCACAACAAGTACCCGAAATTGGCACCATAAAGGCTACATACTCTAACCATAAGGCAGTCAAATAGTTTGATCAATAAGAACAACCTGACAAAAATGGCATCATTGGAGCACATGAATCCCAAGCCTAGATGGAATGAGACTCACATAGGGCTTCACACTGAAAATGACATCTGCATCTAAGCGAATTGTAACTAAATCCCTATATATCAAAATGTGTGTGGCAGAGTTGAAAGGGTGCCAAGAGGAATGCCTGCCATTTTATATTTTATGAGAAAACAACAATTGGAAAATTATATATTTCAGTTTCCATTTAAGATGAGATAATGGTGACAATAAACATTTACAGTATTTCAGACCATTCATTTGTGCCCGATAAGTGAAGAGCTGTAACAAAAGCTTTCTTACATTTATTCCAATCACAGTCTCTCTCCAGGGTGCAGGCTTAAGTGTAACATGAGGAATAAGTGTTCCAAGAGGTCTTTCCTACATTACTGTCTCCTCTAAGGAGTCTCTGCAGTACGAGTTTGAGACAGCATTCAAGGCCTTTTCATATTCCCGTGATTCATAGATTCTCTCCAGCATGAGAACAAATATCTACTAAAGGAGAATGAAGATGAAAGACTTTCCGTAGTCTTTGCTTTCACAGGGTTTCTTTTCAGTGTGAATCCTCACATTTCTGCAAGGCATGAGAGTTCAGGGAAGATATTCTTATGCACATTAACTCATTAAGCACCCTTCCAATATGTCCTCCTTCCATGTTCAGTATGGTGAGAAAATGATTTTCCCACCTTCTCTTCATTCACTCACAGGGCTTCTTTCTACTGTGAGTCTTGAGATGGCTTTTAAGTCCTGAAGACCGTATAAAGGCTTTTCCACATTTCTCACATTTATATGGTTTCTCTCCAGTGTGAATCCTTACATGTGCACGTAGTGAGGACCGACTGAGGGCTTTACCACATTCCTTACATGTCTTCACGATGTGCATTCTTAAATGTTTATTAAGGTGTAAGAAATATTTAAAGGATTTCCCACATTTCTTACACTCATAGGGTTTCTCTTCTGTGTGAATTGCCATGTGTCTCATAAGGAATGACTGATAAATAAAACCTTTCCCACATTCATAACATTTATGGGGTTTCTCTCCATTACTAGTGCTCCTGAGTGAACAGGAATCTGGAATGTGGGCAGACATTTTTCTGTTTTGAAGATTCTCATTATTTGTCCCTGCAGTATAAGAGGACTGCATCTGCGCAAGATGGTTTGAGCTATTTCTGAAGATGTTTTCACAATGAGTAGAATCACCCATTTTTTCTCTAACATGAGTCCTGTGTGCCCTAAGGGATAAATCTTCCCCGAATGGATTCCATTCATGAATGTTTGCCCCTGTATCCATTTTATTATGTATATGATGCAGACTGTTCTGATGACTAGTCCTTGTGTTTGATTTCAACTCTGTCTGAGTTCTCCCACATGGAACCAATGGAATGTTCTGCTCCAAGACTCTATCACATCCATTGTTTTTATATATTTTTTGACTACTATTTAAGACAGGATTATATTTCAAAATATTTGAGTCACAGTTTGGGATATATATTCTTTTGGAATCTCCTTGTGAAAGCACAGGTTCTGAGCTGTCCCCTATTTCGTGATATTCACAGACTTTAACTGAAGATTCATCTTCCTCAGGGGCAATTGCCATTTGCTTCAGATTATGCTCTGTCTGCTTGTGTGGCTTCTCTATTTTGTGGCATTTCCAGCCTTCTCTTATTGGGGAGGGCTGGGAATGGCTGCTCGTGAGGCATACTCTGCTTGCTTCAAGAAAGGTTCTTTTAGCAAGAACATCGGGCTGAGGGGTTGTGTCTTTGGTTTCATGTTGAGTCATCTCATCTGAAATAAAATGGCACATAAGTGAAAATCTTTGCTGAAAGTAAAGGTGGGTGAGAGATGATAAAATAGGTAACGCCTGTGTGCATTTCTTTTCAAATGTTTATCCAACGTAAGAGAGGAAAATGTGAGGGGAAAGGAAAGAAAGCAAGAGTAAGTGAGCAGAGAAGGACATGAGGGATTTGGTCTATGTCAGGAATTTGGTAAGGATTATGGTAAGGTCAGGGGTTCAGTATGAAGAGTGTGCAACTAAGAAGTGGTTCTGCAGAGATCAAGAGATTAGGAATGCCAAGTGGGAGAGAACTGGACAAAGAGTTCATGTACAATTTGTTTTGGAGATAGGGTCTTGCTATGTGGTCCAGGCTGGGGTGCAGTGGTTATTCACAGGTGTGGTCATACTGTACTATAGCCTTGAACTCCTGGGATCATCTCTACCTAGTTCCAGAACATTAAAACAATGTAAAAAATTATTATTTATTTTAAAAAATCTTTCTCTTTTTTCCCCCTAAGATATGTTTTGTTATAGCACCAGGACATTTTTATTACCCCAAAAGTGAATCTCACCGGGCGTGGTAGCTCATGCCTGTAATCCCAGCACTTTTGGAAGCCAAGGCAAGAGGATTGCCAGAGCCCAGGAGTTTGAGAGAAATTGGCGAGACCTCATCTCTACAATAAATTGAAAAATTAGCCAGATGTGGTGGCACACGCCCATGGTCCCAGCTACTTGGAAGGCTGAGGTGGAAGGATCTCCTGAATGCAGTAGGTCAAGGTGGCGGTGGCCATGATTGTGCCACAGCACTCCAGCCTGGGTGACAGAGTGAGACTCAAAAAATTAAAAGTGAACTTCATGCCCAATTAAGCGGTTACTCCCTATCGCCCCCTTCTTCAGTCTCTGGTGCCCACTAATCTACTTTCTGTCTCCATGGGTTTGCCTGTGGACTTATCACATAAATGGAATCATACAACATGTGGCCTTTTGCGTCTGGCATCCTTCATTCAGCATCATGTTTTCCAGATTCATCCATGCCGTAGCACCCATGCTTTGTTCCTTTTTTTTGCGTGTTTGGCTGCATTGTAGTCCGCTGTGAGGACAGACCACATTTGTTTCTCTGTTCATTCACTGATGGACATTTGAGTTGTTTCTATCTTTTGGCTAATTTGAATAATGCTGCTGTGAACACTGGTGTAATTTATTTGTTTGACCACATGTTTTCAATTCCTTTGGGCAGATAATTAGGAGTGGAATTGCTGGGTCCTATGGAAACTCTATGTTTAACTTTTTAAAGAACCGCCTAGCTAGCTATTTTCCACCGTGGATGAAATAGATTATGCATCAACACTTCTATACTATTTGCAAGATGCCTCCTCATAAACATTCACATCTACCTGGCCCTCAGATGCACAAATGTCAGAGTAGAATCCCCTGGAACAGTTCCCAGACCCACCTTCTTGCTCCAAATGAGAGAGCAGATTGGGTTTGCCTTGCTGAAATCCTGCCCCTGGGCAGGGGCGTGATGTCAGGAACGGTGAAAAGACTTTCTGTGAAATGGGCGCATGTTTTGTTTTGCAGGGTTCTGAAGTTGAGGAAGTATAAGTAGGAGAGCAACAAGTGGTCCGTCTCCTTTTCTCATGAATGCACTTAAGTTGTCAAAAGGGCTCAAAACGACCATTTTCCTGTGCTCCATGTCCATTCACTTAAGGATGCCCCAGAGTCTGTTCATCACAAAAAGAATAAAAATGTCATAAGATGAAGAGATTTCCAGTTTCATGGGTAACTCTGTTTGCACCTTGAGGGCAGCAGTTGCATCTTTGTAATTCTATTTATCTATCTATCAATCAATCTATCTGAGTCAGGGTCTCACTCTGTTGCCCAGGCTGGATTGCAGTGGCACGATCATGGCTCACTGCAGACTTGACCTCCTGGGCTCAGGCGATCCTTCCTCCTCAGTTTCCTGAGTAGCTGGGGCTACAGACATGTACCACCATAGCCAACTAATTTGTTGATTTTTTTTTGTAGAGACGAAGTCTCCCTATGTTGCCTAAGCTGGTCTCAAACTCCCGGCCTCAAGCAATCCTCCTGTCTCAGTCTTCCAAAGTGCTGGGATTACAGGTGTGAGTCACCATGCCCAGCCTCACACCTCTGTAATTTAACAACCTAGTTCCCATTTTTCAACACACCTCCCAGAACACAGAACTGTGGTCACTGGGCAAGGGCGTGATGTGAGAGAACAGTGCAAGACTTTCTGTGAAAGGGGTGGAGTATTTGTCCCATCACTGACTAAAAGTAGGAAAGGGGCGTGCTTACCTATGGATGCCAGGGTCCTACAGTTTTCCAGCATCACGTCTCTGTAAAGATTCCTCTGAGCAGGGTCCAGCAGACTCCATTCCTCCTTGGTAAAGTTCACAACCACGTCTGCAAAGGTCACCAAGCTCTAAAACAACACACCCATTTTGGTTCAGCAGGATGTCCTGTTGTGGACTGAATTTGAATTATGATCCCCCTAAAATTATGCTGATGTCCTAACACCTGGTATCTGCAAAGGTGACCTGATTTGGAAATGAGTTAGCTTGAGGTCACACTAGAGTCGGGTGGGCTGTAACCCAGTGTCTGGTGTCCTCATAAGAAAAGGAAATCTGGACACAGATACACAGATACATAAGAATGCCATGTGACAGACATTGTCACATGGACAATGGAGAGATGGGCCCAAGCCAAGGAATGCCAAGGATTGCCAGCCGCAACCTGCCAGATCCAGGTGGGAGCATGGAATGGATTCTCCCTCAAACCTCCAGAAGGAACCGGCCCTGCTGCCATTTTGATTTTGGACTTCCAGCCTCTAGAACTGTGAGAAAATAAATATCTGTTGTCTCAAGTCACCCAGTGTGTGGGACTTTATCGAGGCAGCCCTAGGAAACCAATACAGTTACCTTTTTCTTTTTGAGTCTGGGTCTCACTCTGTCGCCCAGGCTGGAGCGCAGTGGCATGATCAAGGCCATTGCAGCCTCGACCTCTGGGACTCAGGCGATCCTCTTGCCTCAGCTTCCCAAGTAGCTGGGACTATAGGCATGTGTCACCATACTTAGCTACTTTTTAAATTTTTGTAGAGATGAGATCTCACTGTGTTGCCCAGGCTGGTCTCGAACTCCCGGGCTCAAGCAATCCTTTCACCTCGTCCTCCCAAAGTTCTGAGATTACAGGCATGAGCCACCGTGCCTGGCTGCCAATACAGTTATCTTAAACACCAGTGCTCCCAGGAGAGCGGGCTTTCAGTATCAGCAAATCTCCAACCACAGGAGACTCAGCTAAGGTCTGTGGATTCCCATCATCCCCTGAAGGCTCTGTTATCAGGTTTTTCTTTCCTGTGTCTACAGTCACTCCCAAGCTGACCACTGATCTCTTCAGTTGCACCCAGGCCACAGCTTCTCTCTGCCTAACCTTATTCTCCAGATACCTTCATGGTGTCATGAGCACCTCAGTCACATGACTGGACTTCAATCTCTACCGATAGACAATACATGGTGTGCTCCTCCCATGCTGTCATTCTGCTCAGGTTTTTGGAACAAAATATCACAGACCGGGTGGATTAAACATTAGATATATATTTTCTCACAGTTCTGGAGGCTGGAAGGCCAAGCTCAAGATGAAGGCAGGGCTGGTTTCTGGTGAGGCCTCATCCTTGGCTTGCAGACAGCCATCTCCTTGCTGTGTCCTCATCACACGGCCTTTTCTCTGGGCACGTACATTCCTGGTGCCTCTCTTCTCCTCAGGACGCCAGCCCGTTGGATTAAGGCCCACCTTATGACCTCATGTAACTTTAAAGACCTCCTTAAAGGCCCTGCCTCCAAATACAGTCACAACAGGGGCTGGGACTTCAGCATGAGTTTTGGAGAAAAAATTCAGTCCATAACCCTCATGTATTCGTTGTTCTTTCCAGGCCAATAACTGTCCTAGGAAAATACTACTGCCCAGAGAGCACGGCTCACTCCATAAATGAATAACATCCCTTAGGAGACCCCGAGTTCCTTAAGACAGAGATACTTTCATTTCCTTTCTTGGTTAGCTTCGCAGCATACGAAGCCCACAGGAAGCCGGGGTGAGGTGTGGAAAAGACTGGTCAATGCTGGGGACAATGTCAGGATTGTGGGGCCAGGCATGGTGGTTCACGCCTGTAATCCCAGCACTTTGGAAGACTGAGGCAGGGGGAATCGCTTGAGGCCAGGAGTTCAGGACCAGCTTGGGCAACATAGCGAGACCTTGTCTCTTATGAAAAAGCAACAAATTAGTCAGCTGTGGTGGTGCGTGCCTGTAGCCGTAGTTACTCAGGATTCTGAGGTGGAAGGATTGCCTGAGCCCAGGAGGTTGAGGCGGCGGTGAGCTGTGATTATAGGAAAATTCCTAGCGCAGTGTCTCTCTCCAGGCCGAGGGGCAGACACCTGGAAGGCATAGCCGGGAGCTGAGCCTGCCTGGCTCCATGTGTTCTAGTTGACTCCTGGCCACAGGTGGAGTCATGCCCATTTGGTGGGAACAATCACGTCCTTCCGGGGGAGAGTTCACTGCTGACTTACCTGGGACATACTTGTCATTGAGGCAACAGCTAGTCCCGGCTTCCTTGTGTTTCCCTCAAGGAGGCAGGCAAGGCACAGCTTGGGAGAAGAAAGAAGCTATGAGAATCCAGACCCCTGCGTTCCCCACACTTGTATTTCAGGACCCTGCCTGACATTAATCTGAGTGAGCACATGAGCGTGTACACACACACACCCCTATTTTTTAATTGAGGCGACATTCATATAACAAAATTCACCAATTTTATTTTAATTATTTTTTAGAGACAGGGTCTTGCTCTGTCGCCCAGGCTGGAGTACAGTGGTGTGATCATAGCTTACTGCAGCCTCAAACTCCTGGGCTCAAGAGATCCTCCAGCTGGGCTCGGTGGCTCAGCCTATAATCCCGTGCCTTTGGGAGGCTGAGGTGAGTGGATTGCCTGAGCCCGGGGGTTCAAGACCCGTCTGGGCAGCGAGACCTCATCTCTACAATAAATTAAAAAAAAATCAGTTGGGCTTGGTGGCACATGCCTGTAATTCCGGCTATTTGGAAGGCTGAGGCGGAAGGATTGCCAGAGCCTAGCAGGTCGAGGCTGCGGTGGCCGAGAGCGGCCACTGCACTCCAGTCTGGGTGCCAGAGTGAGACTCCAACTCAAAAAAAAAAAAAAAAAAAAAAAAAAGAGATCCTCCTGCCTTGGCCTAGGTGGGCTCCACCATACTCATCTAATTTTTTGTAGAGACAGGGTCTTGCTATGCTGTCCAGGCTGACCTCGAACTCCTAGGCTCAAGCAATCCTCTTGCCTTGGCCTCCCAAAGTGCTGAGATTACAGGCGTGAGCCACCACACCCAGCCAGAGATACCATGCTGATAATCTAGTGAAGCCCAGAGCAGCCTGATTTCACCTCAGATCAGGAAAGAAGGCTGTGGGCTTTATTATTGAGATTATAATTAAAAGTCTCATTTTCCAGAAAAAAATCTGACATCCAGAGACACATGCTAACTTGACTGCAATGACCTGGTGCTCCCTCCTTCCCAATTCCCCTGGCTCTGACTGGCATGCCAGCACATTTGGAGCCTCATGGGCCACCTCAGGTCTATGCTCTGTGTGGAAAACCCCACCTGAAAGCTTACCACAAGCAAGGACTGATCTCAGGACGCCTGCTGCACGACACTCAGTCCCAGGGTGGAACTGGCAGCTGCAGACTCAGGGTGCTCCTCCAGGTCCTTCCAAGATGCCTTGTGGCTACAACACCCGGCTCCCCCTCAGGTCAGTGATATCCAGTGTCCTGTCTCACAAGAATCATCTCCCAAGAGCGATCAGTCATGGATACCACAAGGTCGTGGGTCAGTTTCCACCTGGTAAGCAATTCAGAACCGTAATGAGTTGGGCTACCTTGTACAGTAAAGGATTAACCCAGTAAGTCTGCTTGCTCACACTCTGGATATCAGAGGTTTGGCCCTTGACTGGCTCCTGGGAGATCCCTGCTAAGCCCTTGCAATGTCTTGCTTTATAAGGGTGTTTTGTTTACCTGTAGTAGTAGCTAGTCTTGCTGGGGACTTAAGTCAGTCATGTGGGATAGGCTGTGAATGTGACCAAACCCCAATAAAAACCCTGGACAACAAGGCTCAGGCAAGCTTCCCTGATGGGCAATATTTCATAGTATTGTCACACATCACTGCTGGGAGAATTAAGCAATGTCCATGGGACTCCACTGGAGATGATAGCTGGAAGCTTGAGCCTGGTCTTTCCTGGACTCTGCCTTATACGCTCTGCTGATTTTATTTTTTGAGTCTGTCACCCAGGCTGGAGTGCAGTGGCATGACCATGGCTCACTGCAGTCTCAATCTCCTGGGCTCAGACAATCCTCCCACCTCAGCCCCCTAAGTAGCTGAGACTACACATAGGCACCACTACGTCTGGCTCCTTTTTTGACTTTTTTTGCTAGAGATGGGGGTCTCGCTATGTTGTCCAGGCTGGTCTGGAACTCCTGGGCTCAAGTGATTCTCCTGCCTTGGCTTCCCAAAGTGCTGGGATTATAGGTGTGAACCACCACACCCAGCCCCTTTTTTTATAGCACTTACTATTGCTTGAAATGTAATGTGTATGTTTATTTTCCTTCCCTTTTTAGAATGTAAGATACACACAGGCCAGTATTTTTGTTCTGTGTGTGTGTGATTGCACGTGTGTACATACTACATTATTAATTCCTGGCATGAAGTAGGTCTGAAATACCTACTGTTGAAATAACTCATGAGTGAACAAGCAAAATGCACAGCCTTTGAATGAGGCTGCCCTGGCTGGAACATGATGCTTTGTGAAAGGATGGCGCTCATGGGAGTCTGAGCTGAAATAAACTTTTCATGTCAGTTCTGCAAAAGCCCAGAGGTCTAGACCATCTCCAAGATGGATTGGGAATGATAACATTCATGATGAGAATAAAACTTAAAAAAAATTTTTTTAATGAAATGCAGTACTTACTTTGAAGCTAGAATGACCTGTGCTCAAATCATGACTCAGCTCTTTTCCAGCTGGGTTCTCCTTGGACATGATACCTAAGTTCCATAGCAACTAATGGGGAAGAATAATACTCATTTGCTGGGTTATTTTGAGAATGAAATGGATGAATGTAAGTGAATGTCTTTACGCAGTCTGCAGCACATACAGATGCTCAATAAATAAGTCTTTTTTTTTTTTCCTACCTGCTGGGCTCAGGCAATCCTTCCACCTCAGCCTTCAGAGTAGCTGGAACCACAGGCTTGTGCCACCATGCCCGGCTAATTTTTTGATTTATTGTAGAGACGAGGTCTCACCATGTTGCTCAGGCTGATTTCAAACCCCTGAGCTCAGGCAATTCTCTCGCTTCTGCCTCCCAAAGTGCTGGGATTACAGGCTTGAGCCACTGTGCCCAGCCAACTACAGTCATTATTAATATATGCAGGTAAGGAGTCCCCAAGACCACCCTCAAGTTCAGTAACTCACTACGAGGACTCACAGAATTCAGAAAGCCATTATACTCACAGTTATGGTTTATTATAGCAATAGAATACAGATTAAAATCAGCAGGCCAAGGTGAGAGGATTGCCTGAGCCCAGGAGTTCGAGACCAGCCTGGGCAACTTGGTGAGACCTCATCTCTACAATAAATCAAAAAAATTAGCCGGGCATCATGGCGCGTGCCTGTAGTTCCAGTTACTTGGAAGCCTGAGGCGGAAGATCGCCTGAGCCCAGCAGGCTGAGACTGCGGTGGCTGTGAGTGTGCCCCATTTTACTCCAGCCTGGGCAACAGAGAGATAAAATGAGCGTGATAAGGTGTCCCATGCACACACACTTTCTCATCTGCAAAATTATTTATTTTTTAATTAAATTTTCAAAATTTTTATTATTTATTTATTTATTTTTTGGGAGTTGAAGTCTCACTCTGTCGCCCAGGCTGGAGTGCAGTGACACACTCACGGCCTCCCCAGCATCGACCTGCTGGGCTCCGGCGATCCTTCTGCCTCAGCTTTCCAAGTAGCTGGAACTTTAGGTGCACAATACCACACCCGGCTAAGTTTTGATTTTTATTGTAGAGAGGAAGTCTTGCAAAGTTGCCTGGGTTGGTCTCGAACTCGCGGGCTCAGGCCATCCACTCGCCTCAGCCTCCCAAAGTGCTGGGATTACAGGCTGAGCCACCGAGTCCGGCCTGTTTTATTTTTATTTTGAGAGACAGGATCTCCCTCTGTCACTCAGGCTGGAGTGCAGTAGCATGATCATAGCTCACTGTGACCTTGAACTCCTGGGTCCAGGCAATCCTCCTGCCTCAGTCTCCTAAAAAGCTGGGCCCACTTAGTGGCATGCACCAGTACGCTTGGCTAAGTTTTAAAATTTTTTGTAGAGATGGGGTTTCGCGATGTTGCCCAGCCTGGTCTCGAATGCCTGGTCTCAAGTAAGCCTCCCAAGTAGCCTCTCGAGTAGCTGGGACTACCAGTTCGTGCCACCATGCCCAGGTAATTTTTAAATTTTTTGCAGAGATGTGGTCTTGCTATGTTGCCCAGGCTGATCTCGAAGTTCTGGGCTCAAGGAAAGTGCTGGGATTACAGGTGTGAGCCACCACACCCAGCCCAAATCACTTATTTAATTACAAAAGAAAAATGGCAGTTCTACAGAGCAGAAACCCGACAACACCTTAGCCATGTGATCTCTATGAACATCCTCAGTCAAGGGCAGATAACATCATTCCCCCAGGTGTGATACCCTGAGAAGGACACAGCACAATGTTTGTAGTGTTCCAGTGCAAAAGTGCGTAACCCGAATCCCAGCATGAGGAATCTTCAGGCAAACCCCAGCTGAGGGGAACTCTGCAGCGTAACTGGCCCATGTTCTTAAAAGATGCCAAGGTCAGCTGGGCATGGTGGCTCAAGCCTGTACTTCTAGCACTTTGAGAGGCAGAAGCGAGAGGATTGCCTGAGCTCAGGGGTTTGAGATCAGCCTGAGCAACAAAATGAGGTCTAGTTTCTACAATAAATAAAAAAAATTAGCTGGGCGTGGTGGCACATGCCTGTGGCTCTAGCTACCTGGAAGGCTCTAGCTACCTGGAAGGATCACTTGAGTCCAGCCACTGTGGTGGCTGTGAGCAGTGTACCACTGCACTCCAGTCTGGGCGACAGAGTTAAGACATCGACTCAAAAAAAAAAAAAAAAGATGCCAAGGTCATAAAAGACACATTCTGAGGAACTGTTCCCAATTACAGAAGAATCAAGAGACAAGGAAACAAAATGCAATCCATTACCTCGGACTGAACCAGAACAAAGGAATGCACATGACTTTTTTGGAGGACAACTGGTGAAATTAGAACGTGAATTGTAATGAAATATAAGTAGTTATCAACGTTCAATTTTGTGAAGTTGATAACTGCACTGTGCTTACAAAAGAGAATGTTCTAGGCTGGGTGTGGTGGCTCACGCCTGCAATACTAGCACTTTGGGAGGCTGAGGCAGGAGGATCGCTTGAACCCAGGAGTTCCAGACCAGCCTGGGGAACATAGCAAGACCTCGTCTCTAAAACAAATAAAAAAATTAGGCTGGGCTTGGTGGCTCATCCTGTAATCCCAGCACATTGGGAGGCCGAGGCGAGTGGACTGCCTGAGCCTGGGGGTTCAAGACCAGCTTGGGCAACTTAGTGAGACCTCATCTCTACAATAAATGAAAAATTAGATGGGCATGGTAGCACGTGCCTGTGGTTCCGGCTACTTGGAAGGCTGAGGCAGAAGGATCGTTGGAGCCCAACAGGTTGATGCTGCGGTGGCTGTGAATGTGCCACTGCACTCCAGCCTGGGTGATGGAGTGAGACTCTAACTCAAAAAAAAAAAAATTAGCTGGGTGTGGTAGTGAATGCCTGTAGTTCTAGTTACTTGGAAGGCTGAGGTGGAAGGATTGCCTGGGCCCAGCAGGTTGAGGCTGTGGTGGCTGTGAGCATGCCACTACATGCCAGCCTGGGCGACAGAGTGAGACTCACACACACACACACACACACACACACACACACACAAAGGATGGGTGAAAGCAAAAAGACAGATAATAACAAGTGTTTGATGAAGATATGGAGAAACTGTAACCCTCACACACTATTAGTGGGAAGGTTAAGTGGTATGGTTGCTGTGGAAGACAGTCTGGCAGTTCCTCAAAAGGTCAAACATAGAGTTTCCATATGACCCAGGAGAAATGAAAACATATGTCTACATAAAGCTGTGAACATGAATGTTCACAGTATTATTCATAATAAAAGCCCAAAGTGGAACCAAACCAATGTCCATCAATGAACAAAGCAACCAAATGTGGTCTCTCCATACAATGGAATATTACCGGATCATAAAAAGGAATGAGACTGTCATGCACGCTACAGCATGGATGTACCTTGAACACACGATGCTGTCTGAAGGAAGCCAGACACAAAAGACCACATACTGTGTGATTCAATTTAAATGAAACATCCAGAATAGCAAATCCTTAGAAACAGGAAGTGGATTAGGGGTTGTCTAGATCTGAGGGGTGATGAGGGACTGAGGGATGACCACTGAAGCATACAGGACCTCTTTTGGGGATGATGACAATGTTCTAAATATGAGAGATGCCCTCCATTGTGGATATAGCAAAAACCTTGGAGTGGGTGAACTGTATGGCATGTGAATGATATCTCAATAAAGCTGTTGAAAAAGACAAAAAGGGCCCGGTGTGGTGGCTCACACCTGTAATCTCAGTACTTGGGGAGCCCAAGGGAGGAGGACTACCTGAGCCCAGGAGTTTGAGACCAGTCTGGGTAATAGTGAGACCTCATCTCTACAAAAAAAAAAAAATTAGCTGAATGTGATGGTGCATGCT